GATTTTACAGGCGCGTCACTTCGGAATTATTTAGAGCCCTTAGTTTTCCATCTGAATGGCTAGACCGACGATGTCGAACTTGAGTGTGCGTACTGATAATATATCCAGCCTCCTCCTGTCGATTGTGCTTCTCCATTTGAATCACCGGCACACATCGTGGTGCTGGCCCGTCCAAACATTCGCAGCTTAAACTAGCGTCTAATTCACCTTGATAAGGGGGCGGTATCAACAAACTTTCCGTAGACTTTGTTGGTTGAAAGTGTCTGGTAGAACTGCCTGAATACGTGGTGCTACTGCTGGTTCTCCTTTGAACGGTACCCGTTGGTGTTTTCGCTCTGCCATGCGCGCTTTTTCCTGGCCGCTCGGCGCTATGTGTTTTAATTGTAGCCGTGTCTAGATAACCATAACCAAAACCATAACCACCGAACGCCTTTGTTGTCAGATTATCCCAGGACTTTGGCTTGGCGTACTGAAGGCACGGTGGTGGTCGTTGATGAACGCTCGGATCCCAATAAAGGGTATCTGTGCTTAGGCTCGTCGAACAAGAGGCAACGCTTTCAGCCGCCGTCGAGACGTCGCTACTAGTAATAGAGTGAAGACTGTGTCCAGAGGTGCGCGAGCAGTTATGCGCGCCATGTTGCTGCTGCTGCGCTTGTTGCGATTGTTCTCGTTGCACGTGATGATGTTGCACTTGTTGTTGTGGTTGCTGTTGTTGTTGCTGCTGCTGCTGCTGATGATGATTCTGTTCATTTCTTGCTCTTCTCTGCTTTTCTCTACGTCTACGACTAGGTACGCAGTTTGGATCGCAGCAAGGACTGGCTAAATCATACGCGTCCAAACTACCATTGTCTGATTGTTCTCTACGACGATTGGCGCTCGATATACAAGCGAGGCATAGGCTATTTTGTGGTTGAGTATGATGAGGTGGCGGATCACCACTTGTGCTTGATTGTTGCTGTTGTTGCTGACAGGATTTGTGCGATTTCGATTTGGCTGGCGTACTGTTCATCCCGTTCGCCTGATGATAACTGTGTCGCGACGAAGTTGACACACCTGATTCGCTCGACATCTTGGAGAGGAAATGATGGTGATCGCTTCGCGAACGAGGTGGACCTACTGTTACCAGACAGGCAGCGTTCCGTGGTACTAAGCATGGTCTTCCGTCAGGAAACTGTGGAAGTATTTGTAACGTTTATTGTTTCAACGTTTGTAACAGTTGATTTTGTCAATATTTTGTCGAACAATGATTTTGAAACTACCACGTTGTAGAGGAGCAGATGTTCCGTGGACGTAGCCGGCCGACAACATTGAATCGTGGAAGAATTGAAACTGGACGACGGCGATTGCTGATTAGGGTTACTCGTGATCACGCTGTTAGGCGTTCTCTTGCGTGCTGGCAGTGAATGGGTTTTCCATCGACCCATGAGAATAGACCGTTCCCTCTCGCACAGTCTCTCCAGTTCACCGAGGCGCGATTGAAGTGCACGTTGTAACTCGATATAACGCATATGCAATTCCACCTGGAACAAAACGACGATATCACGTTCGATGAAATTCTCGATCCGTTTCTATCCAGTATGTGTAATATGGTCATTTCGATAATCGACCCTAGAACGTGCGTATACTCTCACCTTTCTCACACAGTCTTCGAAGGACACGACCATACGCATCCTGGTATCACAGTTCTTTATGAAATTCACCAACGTCTTGTGATCAGCTCTGTCCATCTCGTGGCCGTTTATCGATAATATCACGTCACCTTCTCGCATACCAGCTTTGAAAGCTGGCCCGTCGTACTCGACGTAGTCCACATACGTGACCATCTCGATTTCTTGCTCCCTTTTGTAATGAATCCCATAGCTCTGTTGGTGGAATTTCACAGGAAACGATTAAAATCATCATCTCCGATACGAATTATCGTGAAAGTTTCGAACATGTTGTTGCAACGTTTGTGAAAGTAAAGGTAGAGATAGCAATAGAGGTATATAATTGAGGTATAATTAAGAGGAGCGCGTATTGTTCCACGATATTGTGCATAGATTGCAAAAAAAAAAACAGAAGAAAGAAAAAAATATAGAGAACGGAAGTAAGGGCACATTACCTGTAACGTGAAACCGTACGTGCCATTTTTCTTCTCGACGATAATGGTACGGCGACGTCTATCTTCATCCGCTCGTGTCACACGATCTGACTTTGACCTCTCGAGGACAGCCTGCGGAGGAGCACATTACAACGATGAGCTGACAACGTATTAAAGAAACGAAAGGGGTGAAAAAAAAAGACACTTTCTATTTTCACTTTCTAACATCGCAATATAAATACTTCAATTAACGAAACTGATTAATAAACGGAAAAAAAAAAACGAACAGACACACTAGAACGTATTCTACATCCTATAAACGTAGCGTCGCAACGAAAACAACGTAACCAGGACTTCCGATGCATTATTTTCGAAATCTCGTTAATTTACCCGCGGTAAATCAGGATTAAACGAAAAACACACACACATACACATCTCTACTACAGAACATGAAACAAAAAGAACAACAACAACAACAACAACAACAAATAAGACAAAGAATAATAACAACAACGAAAAAATAAGAATCAGATAATAAGATTCAACACACGTTGTGCAACCCACAGAATTTCCTTGACCACGAAAAACAACTCGAAATGGGCAACAAGAAACTGCTCGAGGAAGGCTGTTTCAGCAAATAAAAATCATTCTTTCGATACACGAGTCGATGTAATAACATTACACATTCCACGACACCACTCCATTCCTCCTCGTCGCTGTTCTCAACGCCGCCGGTACGGTGCTGTTGCCCGGCCACCTCGGTATTCTGCGGCGAGTTGTTCATGTTTCCTTCGGAACAGAGGTACGGAACAGAGAACGTACGGAGATCGATCGGTTCAGGGAAGCTTTTTTTATAGTATAGCAAGGGATTGTTGTATTTCTGTCGAATAGAAAATCGTAACGTGGATAGAGAGGTGTTTGTTGGAGAGGAGAGAAAAAAAGAAAAAAAGAAAAGAAGAAGAGGTGATTCTCAGGGCGTATCGCGGAGCGCGCTCGGCGGTTTACTGCTTCACCACTTCTCGTCACCGCTACACTTTCCCGTGGAACTCTCTCCTCACATTGTGCTTACATTTCGACAGGCGAGAGAGACGCGCCAGCCAGCCAGCCAGCCAGGCCGCGAGGTTAACGTGCGTTTAGGCGCGATTATATATGCTCTTTTATTGTTATCTTCCTTCCCGGCCTGTCGCCGGTCCAATGCGCCTGCTCGACAATATCGGCTTACCAACCCCGTCCTGTAACCTCGCTGGCAACAACAGGGTGGCGAAGCAGAGAGCACGCGCAGTCTCATCCTTCGAAATCCCTCTCCATAGAGAACTCCGTCATGCGTTCACCCCCTTCCTTCCTTCCTTCCTTCTTTCCTTCCTTCACCTTTTATCAGCCCACCTTCCATACTCCCCTCGTATCTCGAACCCCTTCACCGCTCGCTCACCGGACAGGAATAACTTCCTCGCGTGCAACGTCCTTGCAACTCGTACACCGCATGGCTTCCTCGAGGGTCGTGTCAATGAACAGCTAAGAAGTGGAATATTTTTTTTATTAGAAGAAAAATTTGTCGAGATTGAATTTCGAGAGAAAGGTGGAAAGTTACGTTAGAGTTAGGTGAGCGGAGAATTTTCTACGAGCTTCCTCTGTGTGCGTGGTTTCCAGGAGTATTGAAAGTTGACGAGTGTTCTTTTTAGAGACGTGGAAGATCGTTACTGTAGAATTCTTGAGATTTCCTGGAGAATTGAAAATTACGTTAGAATTAGGGCAGTGGAGAATTCTCGATGATCTTCCTCTGTGTGTGGTTTCCAGGAGCATTGGAAATCGAAGAGTATTCTTTTCAGAGACGTGGAAACTTCAAACAACGAAAGAAAGATGTTCGTTACCGTAGAATTCCTCAGATTTCCCGGAACATTGAAAATCGTATTCTCTTCGCAGTTACAGAACCTTCGCTTCCGGCTCAACGAAACGTGTCACTACAATCCTTGGGAATTCCAATTCCTCTGTATCTCTCGACGAAAAACGAAAGCTTAGGTATCTCGTTGTAAAAAGGAAACGTGGAATAGTTCACTCTCGTTCGTCAGCTACTTCCATTTCGGTACTTCGCCGAATCATGGTACGTACGACGAGAATAACGCGTGTCACGAGACGCTTTGCTCGCTGTCGTCGTGGTAGACCACGTATTTTTACAAATGTCTCTCGGAAGATATTTTCGCGGTGTGGAGGAATACACGTTCGCCGGGAAATGGAGTGCATAAGGGAAACAGCGTCGGCTGATGGTCGCGTATGTTAATACAAGCCGTCACGAGCCATGAATGTCCACTAGATCTTTCTCGTCTTCGTTGTTCCGCTCTTTTTCCCGGCTTTCTGCGCGTTCCTTTTTTCAACGGCCGCGCTATCCGGCGCCTTTTGTCTCGTTGGAGGCGGCAGAGGCGGAGGCTTTGGTCTCGGAACTGGGACGTGCCTGTGCAGATTAATCACTAGTCTGAGCAATTATTTAGCAAATAGAGAATGAGAGAAACAATGGAGTATACTTTCTACAATCTCGATGAAACAAAGTCTATATCATTCTTAACAAATTTCTCTATGTTGAACTATGACCTAAGGTCACTCGAAGTCTAGCGAGATTATAGATCAATGCACATCTTTGACCTTTCCTATCTTGTGCAGCACGTTATCATATTTTGCAGCATGACTTCGACTACTGTTCACAAAAAGAGTGACTTTCACGTGCCCTTGCGATAGCAAATACAAATTTTCCGTTCCTGGAAATCCGTGCTTCGCGACCCCTTTAACACGCTACGTTTACAATTTATTCACTTTTTAAGTGTGCAAATAAATATCGCTCTTTTTAGTGCTAATATTGTAAAAAGATATTAACCCTTTCCACTCCGTTGTCGCCTCCATGGCGACATTGTGAAATATATTTTTAAGAAAAATTGAACGCCTACAAAGTATCTTCCACAGACGCGCACTGGCACCATTGTAAATAGTCTCGGAGTAGCTGGTAGCCCATAGTAAAAACGATTCAGAGTTTCTGGTAGGTCATAATAAAAATTGCAAGGAGTGCAAAAGGTTAAACGACTTTTGAAATTTAACGAGAAATGCTTGGTATCAAAGTGTCGTCGAAAGAGGACACTCGGTGTTAATAGTGATCAATTCTTCTTTTTTCAATCTACTTTTCTAAGCATTTCATTCGAGCCTGAATACTAAGAGTGTTCTTCTTCGCCTAATAGAAATTCCATTTGCAAAACCTACTATACAGGGTGATTCTAGCAACTGGGCCAAGTTATAGCTCTGTTCCAAGAGAAGATAGAAAAAAATCGTAGAGAAAAGCGTTGCACTGTTTAACGAGCACTATCTCTCTATGGTGCGATTTTTTCCGAAAGTGTATTACCCGACCCGACCCGTTCCGAGCATCGGGTTCCCAACATTTTCGAGTTCTCGCACACTTCTAATTGTTGCATTTGTTAACTGGAATTGTTTTGAACGAGAGTATGACAAAACGTTTAGAATGCAATGGTGAAACGTTTAAGTATTTGCTGTAAATTTTTGAAAAAAGTGTAATATCTCGTAAAGTATTGAGTGTTTAATGACCTTATCTTATGCTTTTTATTTGCAGAATTAGTGGAAGAGTCAATTTGTGTAAAAAAAAATTGTGTGCTTCCATTAAAAAAAAGTGCCCCGATACACTTTCGGAAAAAATCGTACCATAGAAAGATAGAGCTCGTTAACCCTAGTGCGTTCTTTCGTTCGACTGTACACTTCAGGTTTTTAGGTCTTTTTTGACCCAAAGGTCTTAGGTGTAACAATTTTCGTTACCAGCACGCCGTATGAACTTTCGATGTAACGTTAAGGGAACATAAATTTGATAACAGCAAAAGTAATTAAAAAGATAAGAAGGCGATGGGTCAAAAAAGACCCGAAGACCGTTCTAGGGTTAAACAGTGCAACGTTTTTCTCTACGATTTTTTTCTATCTTCTCTTACTTCTGAATCACCCTGTATACTACCGGTGTTACGTTGAATTACACAAAAACATCGATAACGTTCGTTTCTCGTCACTTTAATCTACTTTTCCTAAGAAAAATTCCACTTCCAAAGACTGTCGAAACCTACAAAACGTATGAAACTCCTCGAAAGATGAATTACTCTTACTTGAAGGCCATGTGTATTTCCTGGATCGATCTATCTTTAGTAACATTGATCCATATATTCGACTGAGTCCTCGGTTTTCCGCACAATCCTTTCGCCGAGCAACATTCCGCCCTATCGCGTTCCTCCTCAGCCTGAAACTTCCTTTCCCAGCATTCCTCCCATTTGCGCAAACGTTCCTTCTCCTCTGCCTCTCGTTCCTCGTCCCTTTTCTCCCGTTCCTTACGTTTCCTCTCCTGATCGCTCTTCTTCCTCTTCTTTCCTTTCCCCTTCTTCCCAGCTTGCTCCACTATCTTCACCACCTCCGCGTCCCTCACGTCGATCCTTTCCCAACAGTGCTCGCTAATTGCCACTTCCGGTGGCTTTAATTGCGGGAAAGCCTCCTCTTCAACGGCTGGCAATATCTTCGCAACGGTATTGTTCGAATCGAGAAACACACGGACGAGTATCGCCTCCCATTGAAGAACCGTTAACGCGTTTTCGATTAGGATTTTCAGCAGTATTCCGTGCGGGTAGGTTAACTGAAAATTCAAAGAAACTTAATCGTACAGTAAAAGTTTCATTCAATAATATTATTTAATTTACCGAGTGTAATACGCTTGGATTTGATTTATAGCTTTCTATTGTGCACGTCATGGTGACGGAAAATTTAGTTACCAATTAAGTCGAATTATGCGATGACTGGCGAAGGTTAGATGTTGAAACAAAAATGAGCGCTCGTTAGAAGACAATTTCAGTTTATCTCACAAAGACGTATCTTTCGTTGTATTCGTAAATTACTTTGTTTCTGTTCTTTCGACGGAATCCTTTGTTTTTCTCGTTTTCCAAGGAAAAGAATGTTTTTGCCGTTTTCCATGGAAGAAAACAGTGTTTTCTTCACTTCGGTTTACCACAGTTGCAACTGTAATCCTTCACAGGACACCCGCACTTCTTCGTGTTTGTCTCTTTGCCAAGTAGATCGCTGAAAGCTTTGAATCCTTTGGACGCTATCGGAGAGGAAGGAGTGCAACAAGGTGGACAAGAGGATTGTTGTGCACAAGGACTGCATTTTCCTTCATCGGCAGCTTGGTGAAGAGCAGCGGCCCGTATTCCGCCGAACATTTGCTCCGCTTGTGAACAGCAACACGGAGAGGCGGTTGTTGGTTGAGCTTTTTGTCGCGAATTCGGGGAACATGGCGGACAGTTAGGAGATTGCCTGCTGGAAATGTATTGTAGTTTAAAGAAATTGTCTGTTTTTTCAAATTCTGTTTTCTAATCTGAAGCATTGTTATCTATGATACGTTTAATTGCGTGGAAGTGAAAGAGAACGCCCTCGAGCGTGACCAGAATACAGTTACACTTCCGTTCGTATGTATTAGGACAGTTACCGAACGTGAAACAAACCTGAACTGTTGTTACAGAATTGAAGGATTCTAGAGTACGTTTTCAGTATGAAAATGTAAAATCTTCGGGAGAAACGAGAAATGAGTGGATCTGCTGTAGTTCAGGAAATGTAGGAATGAGTATTTTGAGTATTATTTTGTACCAAATAATTAAAAAAAAATTTGTTCTTCTTGTGGTACTTACAAAGTTGTGGTGTTATCTCAATTTTTTGAAAATTTAGCACTTTCAACGTTTCGGTATAGAACCCTTCATTATTCAGTCTGGAATTTCATAGTGTAAGGACTATAGTTGGTGGAAGAAATACAGCACGATAGTAAATTTAAACGTTAACTAATCATTGATAAATTGACATTTTTCCATTGGGATTGAATCAAAGCTAAAGTACATTTCATAGTTTCACGACTAGCTTTTCCATATGTTCAAAAATATAAATTTAGACACCTCGCTGTATTTCTTCCACCGACTATACATCCATCCGAGTGTCTTCCCGCTTATAACTGTCGATTCTTCTTCTAATCTCTATGTTATTTTCTATGCAAATTGATCTGTACCAATTATACCCGAAATAAATAAAAATAACAGGTAGTCTAATATAAACATCGAAAGGGTATCTGGTTCACTTCGTGAAAGAGGACAAAAGGGAGTACCCAGGAGAGCCCTGATGAGCAGGACAACACGGTCGTGGCCCACAGTCAGGTAGTTTAGGTTTGGCAGGTAATGGAGGGCATGGTCCTGCTTGAACGATCGGCGTTGGACAACAGGTTTTTCCGGTGGCTTCACCGCTACCGTCATTACACTTCTTCACACAGGTACACTTCAATGGAACCTGCGTGTAGCATTCAGAGGGTATTTTTTTGCATTGGAAAACAGGACTTTCGTCTGCCCCTTTGAACAGGTATGGTTTCCTATTGTGCGGTATCTGGAACTGCGTGATGATCTTCTTGCCAAAACAGGAAGTTCTTATGTAGACTGTCACACTTCCGACGCATTGTCCCGTAGCCGTGGTGATTTTGAACGTATCTTTGATCGTTTGACAAGGATTCGCTATTCTGAACACTTGTTGACTTAACACAGCGTTTATCAGAGCCTTCGCTTCTATCTGATGGCAACCGACCAACATCACGTCTGGTAACACTCCTGGTGGTAGTTTCTTATACACGGACAACTTTATGGGGAATGTGGTTAAAGGCCGTTGGAGAACGATCGATGGCAATGCGAACAAACAAGATTTGCCTTTCTTAAAGACCTGCGTGTCGCCCTCGTTACAACCGCAGCCGTCGGTTAAGGCTTCCTGGCAAATGTCGACTGGCGGTAGGCTGAGAATCTGTGGATTTACGTGAAACTTGAATTCTTCCGATGAAAATGAGCCCAAACACGACATAAATCGGACTAGTTTTGCCAGTGATCAATTTATAGTAAAATTTTCGAAAAATTATGGCAATTGTTCAGGGTTAGTCAAACTAGTCCGATTTATGTCGTGTTTGGACTCATTTTTATCGGGACAACCTCACCAATCCATCAATACTATTCTCGTAAAGACAGCATGACAATTATAATAGGTTTGCCGAGCTCAAGGCACTAACAGTGGTGCGTTAAAATTTAACCCAACACCAGTGCAGACGAGGAAATGTAAGAGAAAAATGGTGCATAAAGGTTCTGCTTTATTTAATCTATTAATTTATCAATTTCTATCAATTGATGTTACTTGAAACGAGACGCAAGTACAAGCAGGCAACAGCTCGTCCTGCATCGCCCTAATCACAGGAATTTGAACTCTGTCCACCAGGAACTCTATCAAGAACAGCTGTTGATCGTCCGCCATGTTAGAAACTTCGTAATATTTCAACTATTCGAACATTCTTCCAGCTATTTTGTTCAATTTTTCATTCCACGAAACTATTCACTAATTAACCCTCAATTTTGATATTCCCATCAAGTCAAAACGATTCCGAAAGTTTCCTCCCCCCCCCCCCCCCCCACCACAACTACGTTGTTCAAAATAAATACCACCAAATCTCGAAAATAAATCAATTTTAATAATACAAAATCCGCAAAAATAAATCCAATTTAAGATAATCCCCTCTACGTTCACTTCTTCTTCTTCTTCTTCTTCCTATCCTTCCTCCCTTTATCCTCCGTTTGCATCTCCCTGGTCTCGCACCTGATCGGTGGTCCTCTCTCGGGTCCTTTTGGCGTTCTCATCTCCAACTGTATATCCGACTTCTCTCCAGCCCCGACGATGCCTTTCTTCCCAATTCTCAGCACGAACACGTCGTGTTCCGGGTCCGTGGCGTCCGCAGGCGTCGCCTCCGACTCAGGCGCCACGGTGACCGTAGGTTTCTTGTCCTGGCCGGTGTCCAGGATCCCGGACACCTTCAGAACCACCGCCTTTCCGCACGGTTGAGCTGGTCCGCGGCTCGACTGGATCAGACCGGCCTGTTTGTGCACATCAGCGCACGTATCCGGTTTCGATCTTGACGTCGTCACCGGCGACGTCTGTCTGCCGCTCACGGTGGGTTTCAGCGTGGCACCAGGCTTTCCACACGGTGTACAAGGATGGTGTTCCTTGATGCACACGCGGCAAGGAGGGCCAGACTTGAGTAAATCGTCCTTCGATTCGATACACACGTTACCCACGTCCGAATCGACGATTCGACATTTGTACGTGAGAGATTTGGCGTTAGACTCGGCTCCTCTGAAGATGTAAGACGAGATGTTCCGATCTGGAGGAACCTCGAACTCCGTCACAATTGTCTGTCCAAACGCGGAGATCCTGGCGAACATAGAAATGGCGCCTACCACCTGGTCGTTGTAAACCAGCGGTACTTCCCCTTCGAACACCCTAGGCGGCGGTGCTAACTTATGCCAACATTGTAACATCTCTTTTCTCAGAGCTGCAAAGTGCATAGAGAGATCTACTTCAGCGTTGCCTATTAGCACGTCCGGCTTCACTCCTTCCGGCATTTTTTTCTCTACGCAGAGTTTGATTATAAGGTCGAAGAGCTTGTTGATCACCGTGTACTGATCTATGGCGAACATCACGGAACGACCGGAGTAGAAGTACTCCACGTCTCCTGCAACACCAGCTTGTGGCTGAAACAACGGATCTACGGGGGTTATTTGGATGTTGTCTTCTCCTGTGAAGTTGAGGAACTCCACGGAGATAGTGGTTGGAACGAAGAACATCTGATTGAGCTTGGCTAAACGTTCGCTGGTCATGTGTTGGACGAAGAATTCCAACAGGAAGAGATATTGTTCTTGGTTGTCTGGTACGATCTCGTCGCGGCTACCTAAGGTTGGCACAGCTTTCGATTTCACGCTGGACTCCTTCGAAGGTTTCCGCTTCGAACGATGACCGCGTTCCATTGACGAGTGTCGATCGTTCAGCGTCATTGAGAATTTCCGTCGGTTTGAATTTGCCGAATTTGTCGCATCTCTGCTGAAGTTCGCGTCGGAAATTGTGTTAGGATAATTCGTCTGCGATACGAACGGGATCGATTAGTCGTAGTGTTCAGGGTCCCGATGGTGGTAACCTTGAGAAACTGGTTTCGATTGCTGTCTCTCCTTTATTTTGTCGATCGAGTTGACGATTCGGCGCCACTGTGATCGGTTTGAAACCGAGAACCGGAACCGCATTCCCGCCACGAAAGGTAATCTGAACGTCGGAAACGATAAGCAACCACACCGTCAGGATAATCGTGGTTATCTTTGTTTACGATGACAGAGGAATCGGAGCTTTCGTAGAACCTATCCGTGAATCATTCGACTCGATGAATCGGCTTCTTGGAGGATTTTCCAGCAGGAGATTCTACGGATAGGAAATTCTTTGGATTTTCAGACGTGAACATGTTTATGGTATGAATGAAGTAATGTTTCTCTTTACTCGTAGTTTCTCTTACGTTAACTATACTTAGAATGAAAATTCAGTTACACTTGGAAAGTGAAATTCGCTCATTTGTTTTTTAGCGATTACGAAGGTGCGAGGCAATAAAATAACGTAAATGAAATTATATTAACCCTTTCGATTACGATTGATTATAATTATAGTGCAATTATAATGCAATAGTGTAGCAACAAACAAGTGAAATGAGATTTATAAAATATAGATGAATGGATACGTAATTTCCAAGTCACGCGGCGTTACAAAGGGTTAATTGAATAATACAAAATTTAATATTAAACAATAATATTAGATTTGTATTGGAGCCTAAGTGAAAGTTCACTTCACTTCCTTCTTGTTTGTAACTATCGATAACTATGAAGATAAATAAATGAGAAAATAAATTTTTATCGTTGATAATCACTTTGCTGTTGTTTCCTAAATTGGCAATTTAGATTCCGGAACCACCGCCGTTGGATTATTACATAACCGACGTTTCGCCATCCTTCGCCGCAGACGGAGTGTTTTACCATGGAAAAGCACCGCCCACCCATAAATATGTTGCGAAGCAGCTGAAACCGATCAAAAGGACAGTGTGTAATATTATCGTTTCCAATAATCTTTATCTTGTCCAAACATGAAACAGAACACTTCTAACCCGTGATTTCTTGAAACTGAACAGCGAGGGCTATGTCGACTTTTAAAAATGTCGCATTCATATTTATCCAGAAGAAAAATAATAAAAAAGAAACTAACACACATGTTTCCGATACAAATAAGTCATGAAATTAATTTTCTTTTTTCTTATTTTAGAGCTCGTTACAATCCAAATTCCAACATTGTGAATTTAAACGAAATTGTGTGAGAAAGTACTCTGACTCGGAGTAGGGTGGGCGTGAAATTAATTGAACGTGTTTACGTTTTTACAATAGTACATGTTAAACGAGAATTATATCCGCGTTATCCGAGCGTCGTTCGCAAAAAGTGTGCTTCGAGGGTCTCGTGAAGAGTGAGGACGCGTCGTCATGCCGATCCCTGTCCACCCCTACGCGAACAGGCCCAGAGAAAAACCCGAAGCGCTGGGCCTGACTTCAAGATGCTCGCTTCACCGTGCTCGGGACGGATTTTCTCACAATTGATGAAATATTACGAAACGATGATTTGCACTGCAAAATCAACGAGACGAAAAGGGTTAGAATAATAGTGTTGTATATACCGATGCCTAAGGCAGGGCTAGAACGTCCAAATCCCCACTTAACCGCCTAAATTTTTCTCCGTCTCTGCTGCGCTCTCTGTCTATGCGCAGAACGGACGAAAATCGGTCTGAGAGCGAGGTTATTCTTAAATTGGACAGAGTGCACATACTCTTCGTTCAAAATAAGAATAACCTCGTTTCGCGCATGGGACGTGCCTAAGGCAGGGCTAGAACGTCCAAATCCCCACTTAACCGCCTCCGTTTTTCTCCGTCTTATCCTCTGCTACGCTCTCTGTTTATGCGCAGAACGGACGAAAATCGGTCCGAGAGCGAGGTTATTCTTATTTTGAACGAACAGTAGTGTCGAATTTAGTCGACGATTACAAATGGCAATCGGTTTGGAAGGCACGTGGCAGCGAAGTAATCGCGGGGATCGTGATGATAAATACATTTGTCCTGCGACATTTAATCGATCCCCCTCGGTTAATGGAATTGAAGGCGAGTTAAAGGCGATCGAATTAGGCGAATGTACGTGTGCCTAATTGTTGCAGTCGACCCGCTAGCGCCGATACAGGAAGTGGACTCGCGTACGCTAAACCAATGGCTCGAGAGGGACAAGGAGGGCTACGTGGCCGCCGCAGGCAAGGACAACGGAATCATTTATCAAACGCTTAACACAATGCCGACACGGAAACGTGACCCGAGATCGGAAAAATGTTGGTTTTCTTTTTTTTACATGAGAAATACTTGGAAGAAAATATGAAATATTTAAATATTAACGGAGAAAATGATTAAATGTTAAATATTTTTTGACGTGAAACATATTTGGAAGAAAAATATTAAGTATTTAAATATTAACAGAAAATTATCGAATATTAGATATTTCTTCACATGAGAAATACACGAAAGAGAAATATTGGCAAAAAATTATTGAATATTAAAGATTTTTTAACGTGAGAAATACTTGAAGGAGAAATATTGACAAAGGAATGATTGAATATGAAATATTTTCTTGTAAGAACGATATGAAGGAGTGTTAAATATGTATCTTCGAGGTCAGAGGCGATCTTGTTCAAAGGAATAATCCACTACAGGTCGTTTGAAATATTAATTGTTCCCCACTTAAAGTAACTCTTGGACACATAGCGGTACAGCAATTTCTACCAATCGAATATCGGTCGTACAAATAATTGGACGTCCGAGAAGCAATCAATGGCCAGATGAATCGCGCACGACACTAATTCGTTAATGAGTCACGAGTGATTTGCAACCTAATTTCAGCTGATCGCCACTGGTCAAAATTGCTCTAATTGCTAATCAGTGTCGGCAGCGTCGATGAACCCTTTTTTAGATGTGCTTTGCTTTAATCGCCAGTGAAATTTGCCAAAAAATGAAAATATATAATTTTAACCGGAAAAGTTTCCAATATTTCGCGCGAGAAATTTTCCAAAAAATAAAAATATAATTTTAACTCGTTGAAAAATTGTTCATTTTCAGCCGCGTTCTCGATATTCCCCCGATCACCTCAATACGAATTATGGTACATTCGTAACGAGCGTTTAAAAAATGCCGAGAAATACAGAGGAGAAATCGTCGAATGTCCAAAGAAGGAAGAAACGCTCGAGTGAGTGTCCTCTTTTTATTATACAACACCTAATGAACCGTAAGTAGAATAAATTGTCTAACAGTACCGATGACGAGCCGTGTGGTTTGCTGAAACCACCGATTTGGTGGAAAGATAAAGAAACAAGAAAACCGAGCAGTCTTACAGTTGCGAACATAAACGATTACGCGCTCGAAAAGCTCAAGGATTTCGGTCAGCATGATGTAAAACTCAGTGAAAAGCTTCACATGGATCATCCAAGAAAATACATACCGGGTGTCATTCGTCGATTACAGGTACCGGTGAAATTGATAAAAAGAACTTTGTGAAAAATTGAATACATTAAGTATTTAACTCTTTGCTTCGTGATTTTCTAACAGAATAGGATAGTTTAAACCTGTGATCCATTTTAATCAGTTGAAGTGAACAATTTTTGCGTTTGGCGCGAAATTTGAATCTATGAAATAATTTTCTACAAGACTGGTTATTCTTATAAAATAAAATAGAAACGTATTTATGATTTATCTAAAATAAGACATTCCTCCCTACAATTTAACAATTTTTAAATTAAAAAATTAGCTTCTCTAAGATCGTGTTTGCAGCGGATTCTTCGTTTTTCCATTTCTGGCTAGTTGTAAAAGAAAAGGTTGCTCATCGCTGTTTTAAACGATTTGACTGTCACGATGTTAGCGTGAGAACATTCGTGGAATTAAATATCCGGAATATTACAGCGTTTTTTTCCAGTGAAAAGGTCGAACAAGCATAAGCATCACGGCAGAAAAGATGATTCTGTATCTCGCGATTTGCAAGTACCGCGAAATGGATCAAGGTTGCTGCTCTTACTATCTCCGATGTGAACGTTTTGCTTGTCCGTATACAATTAATTTGTTCCTCGTTAAATTAACGAGCTGCGATTTATTCGAAAGCAACCGTCGCGAGAAGAAAGAGAAAAAGAAAAAATTGCAATTACAGTACTTCAGACGTAGAGAGAAAATCGACTTTGTTCGAAATTGTGTGAAAAACAGATGTCTTTTATTTGTATTCCTCATTGATGCCACCATATCGCTATGTACACGTGGCATCACATGCAATTTGCAGTTTACAGTGACTGTCACTTGCAGTAATACATTTCAAACAATTCTTCCTCGTAAAATATGAAAATTCGACAAAATATCAATACGCCCAATATCTGTGTTACTCTTTACCGGAAAAATATACAGGGTAGACCGCGTAAATAGGTCACCTAATTATTTTCTCCAGCTACGGTGGTGCAAGAAAATTTGTATACATAATTTAAATTACTTCAAAAGTGAGAATAAGATAGGAAAACAATTTTTTTAATGGAAGAAATGGCAAAAAATGAAGAGAAGTTTCACATTTGATTTAAAATTTAAGAGATGTATGTACCTACATTTTATTTCATTCATGTATTACTAATAAAGTTTTATATATTCGTTCTTACGTCGTTCTCTCTTTTTCTCTATTTTTAAAAATTTTTACGTTTCATGGAAAACAATTATTTGAACCGTACACTGTACAATTTGAACTGACAGTCACTGTAAAATGTGTACCAAGGCTGCGCGATTACGCGCTGGAAAATATGTTTGACAGACGCGAATGCAAATACGCCGTTAACGGGATGCGTTTTATCGCACCTATGATTCGATCTTCCCCGATCGAGAGAGTTGAACGAACGAATTTCGAACAGAATCCAGAGGACACGAGTATGATGGACGCCCTCGAGAAAGCGGATGCCTTTGAAGACGTTGCAAAAGGGGAGGAAACTTTGCCAGAAGTCGTCGTCCCACCTGTTGACGAGCCCTGCGATAAGTGTCGTAAGTAAAAGTATCGGTTTTTTTTAAGCTTTTCAAAAAAAAAAAATTCTTTTCCTAGCGTGTGCGCCGACTTGTTGTTCGCCGAAAGAAGACGAGGATGTAAAAGTCGCTGATAAGAGCATACTCCACGGTGACAGTCGATGGCAACCTCTTCGGGAAAATGTGTCTTTACCGAAGACCGAACTGAAACGAGAAAAAAAGTTTAGAGAATTAACCAAGTCGTTCCAACACGATTTGCATAAATGGTATACGAAGAATAAGCCAACAGAATTGATCGTACCTGTCAGACACCTGGGGAAAAAAGCGATACCAGAAAGACGTTTCTCTCATTTGTGATACTCGTCAGTTAAATCTCTAATCAAAATTTATTCGATAATATTGAAATTGCGAATGTTAGGTCACCCTATATATACATATGTACATACACTACCGGCCAAATGTTTGGAATCACTGTGCATTACAAGTTATACAAAAATTTCCAGAAGAAAGTTGGCAATTTTAAGAATACTTTAACAAATTTTTCCTCGTTCAAATAAATCGAAATAAGGCAAAGTGCTATCGATCTCCACAACATCAATTTCAAATCTACAAAAAATTAGCAGCAAATTCAATATTGACGTAAATTAGCAGGTGATTCGAAACTTTTGACCGGTAATGTATGTTCGCTCCAAGGACGAAGAATATTCTAATGAAAAAGTCAAGAAGTTTTATAGCGACGGTATAATGGCTCTGCGAAAAAAAGTCGAATGAGAAAACGTATTTTTTTCTTTTTTTCCATAAAATTTAAAGGTACGTTTGAAATATTCGTGTAACTTACGATATAAAATTCCACCGGAACTTATAAGATGATTTAGTGGAACACTTCATACAGAATGATAACACGCAACGTACTCGACATTGTTGAAACTAAACGTAAGTGGGTTAAATCGTATATTGTGTAGGTAAAAAAAGATGCATTATCACGGTCGATAGTAGACGAGATAATTATGAAACTCATTGCACAAATGTGACATAATATTTTTGTTGATAAGAACTATGTAGAACGTGATTCATTAATTGTGATGAAACGTCTGTGTTTACGTTTGTTCGATTGTGGGCTAACGGCCCATCGTTAGCCCACGTGAAATTAGCTCGACGCTGAACGGCGTTAATATTGCTGGTGTATGCCCGATTTGGAACTTCTTCGAATTATGAAACTAACATTATAAGGTAACGTAAGTTGCTTTTTCGTAGAATTGGTTTTAGCGTAGCTATTGAATTACGCTATACACATCTACGACGTGTTGCATTTCTTTTTCTCATGATGCTTGCAAATTCCAAAAGGGACGACTGTCATTGTGTCAACTGGAACTGCGTTGTTGTAGTTTCTCGAAATTCTACGAGTAGATCACTGTTATTTATTTATCTGAAAAGGATAATTAATTATTTTACAAGATATCGAATCGATAAATTAATGAAATATTAGAAAAAATTAACGCGATAAAAAGTTCGTCGATACTTCGTAAATACGATCGATCACGTTTTCCACGTGTTCAATTACATTTCACCGATTGCACTCTTCTCGATTATCAATGAATCGTTACGCTCGATTGCGTGCCGCACTATGAATCGCACGTCTAGGTCGTGTCAATAAAAATTTCACAAGAGTTTCTTTTCGCACGTACATCAAGTGGTACGTTTTTCAACGTCACTGTATGATATCGTATACCACTATATTTTTGATAGATAAGAGCGGAAATTGCGTAATGTAATCCAACACGTTCGTAATTGCAATTACAGATAGAATGTTTAACGAAGAATGACGACAAATTTACATATGTTTAACGATTTTCTAATTTCGTTGGAATATATCGGTTAACATTTTGAATGTCAATAACGATCAACTCGGTGGAACGATTATTGACGTAATTGATCAACACTTGGATCTCTTAAATCGCATCGTTGCGTAAATACATAAGTACATGTATACGTAGCTGCAGTCACGCTGACCAGGATTTCATCAGACGCTCCTTACCATGTGTTGTCCAAACTAACTTAACGCGAAAACCACGCCTTCTATGGCAAATATTATATAGAAAATACGTCATAACACAAATAGCTGAATTAAACTCCACATCAAATTTCCATAATTTTCTTTCCCGCCTAAAAAATTACAGATTCCGTCAAACAGTACTTTAAACAATGAAGTGTTTACGAAGTACGCAAGCTAACAAATTTGCGCGGTAAACATTTTACTCTCCCTTTTAATTTATTAATTTTGTTTTTTTTTTTACAATTTTCCACTTCGATAATAAAACGAAAACTGTTTTCGTTCGTCGAATGGTTCGTTGTATGAATGATCAGTAATTATTCGAAAATTGTGAAGAATAACTCGTGCAAAAACTTTCAGTTTATTCCCGTTTATTCTTGTCTGAACGGCAGTCTCCTTCGGTCGGAGTCCGCAGCAGTATATGCCGGTGCGTGTATCACGAAACACTCGGTGTGCTGTGGTCTATTGTGTCGTGTCGTATCGTGTAGTATTCGTATCGCGATTAATTCGTCGATCCTTTTGACGCTGTGCGTACCAGCATTTGTCAGAAATGAAGTAGCGCCAGACCGCCGGTACACGCCACGTTCTTCTTCCTAATATCCAGAAAACCTACCCAGTGAATTTCTGTACGTTGAGCGAACAGGTACGTACAATTTTCGATTTACATTTAAAACCCATTTTTAGACGCTTGCTCCCTCTGGCACTATTTAAAGTCTTGTGTACTCAATTTAAATTACAAAACAGACGGGAACTAGCTTGGGGAACGATAAATTAAAGTCGTTGGCAATCGATCGATTTTCGAATTAGATTCTCGCGCGAACGTGCGTTATCGATAACGGTTGATCATGATCGATACAGGTTTCGTAAATCTACAATTTTTATTTCAAGAGATTCTCTGGAAGGTTCGAATTGATTAAGTGAGGGAAGCAAATTCGACGAGGCTTTTCACGGGCACAGATAGTGTATTTTTGTTCTCGACCCTAAGATGCTACATTGATCTGAATTATTAGCGTCATTTACAAGTCTAAAGTCCTTCTATTTTTCTACCGTCAGTGTACATTTTAGGTAGATTCGCATGCGCATGCCTTATCTACCTGTATTCAACCGTTCGTCGTAAACACTCTATGCTGTTCACATAAAGTCAGGTGTATACAGAATTCAAAGAAAAGAAAGCTATTGTAACGCCATAGAATTCTATTTACCGTTAAGTCAGACTCTATTTTCGAAACGTAAACTTCTCGAGCGGTTTACGTCCAAGCTTATCGATCAAATAATTTTAAGCAACATCAAGGTTATGTCAGCAGAGGTTATCGACATATGGTTTAAAGAATTCACGTTTCAATTTTTAGCACATTTCCTCGTGAGATCAAATGTATTTAATGATGATAATCTCTAGACAGAAGCTGCATCCTTTGCTAATGACATTTTAACGACGATCGTGTGAATATGCAAACCATTTTATTCCTTGAAGTGGTAGATTACAGAAGTATAAGGTAAAAAAATATCGAATATGGGAAATCCTAAAGTAGTGCAGTTTAAGAACTGCAATTTTCATAATATGTTTCATCAGTACAGCCATGCCGCTATGAGCACGTGGTGCTAAGTTTGTGTGGACGCGACTTGTATGGCTCGTGATAGTAGCTTCGTATGATGTAACTTCGCATCGATATTTCGGACCTGCGCGTCGAAACCACCACTCTCTATATAGGCGAATTCGTTCGTTACCCTTTCGTGACATGGAAATCGATTTTTCTTGTGACTAATTCACGCTTTTTATCGCCACCTCGATATTGTTATACCGTGCGCTTGGCAACACGACGTCACACCAAAGCAGCTACACCTGCTAATTAGTAAATGTACTGATACAAGGCTGTGTGTAACGTGTTCGAAATGTCGTTTATATTTCTCGTTTTTATCGCTTTGCTATTTGAGAAGGCGATGAATTAAGGACCCGTTCCCAGCGAAGATAAGTAACTCGAACGGCAAGTTGCATTATGTAGACGTAACGGTCAAATTTTTATGAATTAATATTTTTATTTTAAATCTTGATATTGTCTTATTGAACTGTTTGCAAATTGAATTAATTATTGAATATATTTTGTCAATATTAGGCTGTATTTCTAAGAATTGAAAAATTGTTTAATTTCTTTTTCAGTTAAATGAAATTTGATTCAGCATTCAATTTGTAATTTTTCAATATGTTTATATCGTAAATAATAAAAAATTTTAAAAATAACGTCCGCAATTTTTGCATTACCTACTGCGACGTTGCCAAATTATGTGAACAGACATAACAAAAAGGCGGACACTTCTTAGAACGCAAGGGTCCAGCCAATCCTACTTCGCAATGGCATAAAAGGATGTAGTCAAGCTTGTCTACAATACCATAATGAGCTCTTAGAAAACGAAACATGTAATACAACCTTAAGGTCTTCTTTCTTTGAATTAAAAAGTAAATATCAAAAATTTCAATGGACTTTTGTTCGAAAACAAATCTAAAAAATTAAAGTGTCCGATGATAATCGCAAAGTATATAAATTAATCTACCGTGAGCATCGAGCTCCTTGAACTCGAAAGGAAACCGGTCGAAGGCGAAACTACTCAAGAATCTTTATGTGGTATGAATAATTTCATTGACCTTGCAGCCGTAGTAACCTTATTGCATATAACTGTAATGAGATTAACTTTCCTTGTTACATATTCGTATAACGAATTGATTTATGCGTGGAAATGTTTTCGATTGTTTTGTTTGATTATTCGTTATCACAATAACGTATACATTTTTATTTTCATCGTTTTTTTTTTCCATAAACTAAAGAATAATATATAGATGCATGCACATGTTGCCATTATACGCACGTGCATGGGCGCGCACACACGAGACGAAACAAGATTAAGTTGCTAACGCGATTCACTGAATCAATTATTAGACGCTGGCGGTCTATCAATGAGGCAAATAAAATTAACCATTCACAAAGATCAATCTTTTTATTTGAAAGCTTCTTTCATCTTATTGTTGCTCTTGAAAGGGAACATGCCGCGAATCGGTCGACTAGACAAACCTTGACATCTACACACGCAACAACGAACTAGAAAATCCAGTTCGTCCTAAGGTGACTCAGTTTTCAAACGTGTTTAGCAACACCATTCAAACTTCGATACAGGTGACTATACTACTTCGAAATACGCCTGCTATTAAGTACAAACGACGATCGCAACGAACAAAGTAAAAAAAGATCGGTGAAAGAGTCGCGAAAATGTACATACATATACAGATGTTTTGCACATGAAAACAAGTCATAAAATT